TCTAATGTAAAACCTTTAAGTAAATTACTTAAATAGATAAACAAAAGTTGAATATATAGCAAAATATACTCTTATTAACCAAAATATACTACTAAAATATCTAATAATATTTGTTTATTTGTAATATTGCAAAGATATAAAAAAATATATATATAAAACATTTTATATTTTCAAATATAACTACAATTTTACTAAAAAAAATTTCTATGCTATGTATATTATAATATAATTATAATTAAATTAAAATTAAAAGTGTAGCAACTTAGTATAGTTGGTAAGTTGTTGCATCTCCAAGTGGCAAGACAAGAGTTTGGATCTCACTGCCGATGAAATTCGAATTTATGAAATATATTATAGTAAAACAATATGATATATTAATCGGGTAAGCATATATGACTTTGGTCTCACCAACTTGTATTAGGAGGTTGTAGAATGTAGTATGATGCATGAGTTACATGAAACTTCAGTAAAGCAGCCAAATAAATCCAAGAGATCAGGGGATATGGAAGCCTACATGGGAAGTCCTAAGTAGAGAGGTAGCACAGATCTTTAACTGTACTACATAAAGAATTATTATCTAGTGAATTAGATACTAGCAGTAAACTGAATGAGGATCAAGTATTTGGCAAGCATATACTAATCAGGCTGTTGAATCAGCCAGAAAAAAAAAGATTCAATCAGAATACTAGTGATGCCTATTGGTTCCTCCGGAGCCATCTGAATTAGAAGTTTAGAGCACTATTAGTTGGCATTGAAATACTATCAATAGTTCATAAAGTAGGTACTGGGATTTGGATGAACTTTGCAAAGGCACAGAGTAGGTAATGGTAGCAAAGGTAAAAAGCCACAAGTACTTGATCACGGTCTAGATATAAATTACCGAAAACCTAGATGATACATGTGTGGGACATAGACTGCTCTAGTAGGTTTATTATAAGGATAAAGTAGTTCTAAGGGGCCTTAGCAGCAGTTTCTCTTTGAGATGAATATTTGATAATACTAAGTTAATCAGAGGGTTTAATTGAGTAACTCAAGTAATAGTAGGTTATAGGTACAACATTTAGTATAGTACTTAATAATAGAGAACTATTTAATTAGATGCTTAAAAGATGCAAATATGGCTAGAATATATTCTTATTAATGTAACAAAGTCAGGTAGCCTTTGTAATTTGATCCAAAGTTCAATAAAACATGCTAGATCCCAAAGTAGTCACTTTAACATTAAAAAAAAAATTTTTAAATCAAAATCAATCTTTTTTCAATATTATTAAATTATGCAACTACTGTATTTCTCTGAAAATTAGCATCCCTCAGAGCAATTTTTATAGCCAAATTTCTCATGCTCTAGTGATCAGATCTACATAATTTTGGTACTATTTGAATCGACTAATCAAAGTGATTCAAATGTTACCAAAATTACGCAGATCTGATCATTAGATCACAAGAATTTTGGCTATAAAAATTGCTCAAGGGAGCACTTATTTTCAGAGAAATATAGTAATATAAAAGTTATATAACTAACTAATATTACGGATCTAAGTATTATATAAAACAAAATGAGCTTATATACATTTTGTTATAACTATAACTATGACTAGTATATACCTTAAAATTTATTAAGACAATTCTATTACATCATTACTTAATATAAATACTTAACAATAAAATTTTTAATGATAATTTTTTATTTAAACTTTAAACTTTAGTCATGATTTAATGTTATATCTAATAAACAAACATGGTATAGAAATATAATAGCTAATCAAATCTTTAAAGTAAACAGATATCTAGTTGTATATAATCTAGATAGTTATTTTTAATATAAAAAAAAATATATATATAGATATATATAGGACTCTAATAGTAAAGATTAATACTTCAACAGACCAGACTTGAATCAAACTTTAGTCAAGTCTGAGTCTAGTCTGATTTTCAAACCAGACTTAAACTTTTATATTTAAACTTTTTTAGCCAAGTCTGAGTTTGGTTTGAGTCTAGTTTAAAGGCTGCAAACTAGTCTGAATTTAAATATATTTATATATATTTTTATATTTGAACAAATTTATTTGGTGCATGAAGTTAGAATTAATTAGTAAATTTTTGAAAATTATAAGATTTTATAAAATTTTATTAATAAAATTTACAAAATTTTATAATTCTCAAAAATTTACTAATTAATTCTAACTTTATACTAATTATATTTGTTTATTATCTAAAAATACATTAAACTAGCAAAGTTATTTTTATTTTATTTAAAATTTAGAGCAAAATATTTAAAATATTATTTCTAAATTTTAAGTAAAATAAAAATAACTCTGCTGGTTTAATATATTTTTAAGCTAAATCTATATAGTTGAGATTTAGTAAAACTAATAAGTTGATCTTAATAGTTTGGTTACTTCAGTTAAGGCTTTATTTAATATAATAGGTATAATAATACTGTATTCCATAATAGTTTGTGAATTGTCAGGAAGTATATATTTGTCAGTAGAGTAGTATGTTAAATTTATAAGTAGAGCTAATTTTGTAAATAAAGTTTATAGCTTCTTGTTTGTTAGAATTAAAAATTTATATTCATTAATTGTTTTAATTTTGGTCAAATCTTTGGATAGTAGTAGTTTAATATTGTAGTAGTATTACAAAGTAGATTTTTAGTATAGATTTTATTAAATATTATTTTGTTATTTTTAGTTATTATTATTCAAAATATTTATATTTTTATATAGTTAAAATATTAGTATTTATTATATTATTATATATTAGTTTTATATATATTTAGATAGAACACCTTAATATAGAAACATTTTAATTAGCTATTGGAAGTGTGGCACAGTCACATAACCTCACATGACCTCAGGTGATACAAGATTATACAAGAGAGTCTTTTAAGTTATACAAAAGTGGTATACAAGAAAGTAACACAAGTTCACTTTCTTCCTCCACATAAACACCTTCTTTCTTCACACGAACCTCTAATTCCTTTGCACAAACCCTAAATGTTTTAAACACAAAATATTGTTATCTAATTTCTCTATACAAGCTATAAATAAATATAAACATGATGAGTAATGTTTATATTCTCCTACTTCACCCAACACAATCACTTTCTTCACTCAACACAATCACCTACTTCTTCTACACAAGTTCCCTTTTTTTCTCTGCCAAGTGTTACTCATTTACTGTACATTATGTATCCTTTTTATGAGTAAAAAGATATATAAATGGTGCTTTTTTCCCTATCTGCTAATTCTATAAGTTGCTATAGTTCACCTAGACTTTGTTCTTTTTATAACCTTCTTGTAAATGTGATATCCTCTCTCTAGAAAATTCCTATAACCAAGGTTTATCCTGTATTCTTGTATGAAATAAAGTTCTTCTATATACTGTTACTATCTTGAACTGTTTGCCTCTTGCTGTGTAGTTAAATGAACAACTACATATCCATTCTGTGTATATTTGCAAAAGTCAATTACTGCACTGAGTGACCTTGTTACTTAATTGTATTTTACTAAGAAGCTACAACCCTATAACAGTAGTTATATAGTAGATTTCTAAAAGTATAGTCTTTGTGTAGTCTGTTTATTGTTTGTTAATTATCTCCTTGATAGGCATTTGGATCAAGTATAAAATATATTTTGTATTTATAATTAAGATCCTGATAAGCTAGTAGTAGAAGTAGCTTAGAAGGTAGCAAGTTGAAATAGTTAGCTATAATTGAAGTAAGCTTGTAGTATTTTGTATTTGTTTTCTGTAATAGCCAAGTTATCTCAGACTTCATCCATCAGTGATCAGAAACAGTTCATTGCTGCTAGATGGAGGTTTTTAGAAAGAGTAGAAAAAGGATCTAAGCTTATAAAATAGTTTTTTAGTAGTTTATCAAATTGATATAAGTGATAGAGAGCTGTTACAATAGTTTTTGTTTGTGCTTTGTTTTTTATAGGCAGAGTAAAAGGTAATATTTGTTGTATGTATTTAGAAATATCATTGGAATGGTCAGATAGAGGTTGTAGTTTTTTTTTTTATTTTGAATTTGTTATATATATGATAAGATTAGTTACAGATTTGTATCAAGATGATATTAATTTTAAACTATCTATTATATTTTATATAACTATCTAAGTGTAGCAAATCACCTCTTAATTTCCTATTTATAAACTAATTTAAGACTAGCTACCATTAGTTATAGAGGAGTAAAGAGGAAGCTCAGTAGTAAAGTATAGGATTAATAAAAACATGAAAAAATGGAAAAGGTTTGATTTTGCTATTTTTGGATAAATTAATCAATATTATAATTATAAATTGTTGTTACAGAGGTTCTAGTAGTGGTATTTGATAAAGAGAATTTAATTTATTTAGATTTAGCTGTGATATTTCTTGAGGTTTTCTAGTTATATTGAAATCAGTTTCTAATTTGCCAAATGTTTAAGTTAAACCAGGAAAGAAGATTATTAGAAAGATAGAGGCAAAAGTTGATAGTATTTTTAGCAAGAATAGATTGTAGTTGGTCAGTAATGTGAAAAGGAATTATTCTTTGTATAAGAAAGAGGAAGTTTTGAAAAGATGTGTTATAAGTATTTGAGTTAAGTAGTATATTTGTAATTGTTGCTATGTTTGTATTTTTAATTTTAAGTTCAATTATTGTTTGGATTATATATTGGTTGAGTATTAGATATAGGTTAAAAAGCGCTTAGTAACAGTTTAATAGGTATAAAGTGTTTTCAAGTTGGTTACATCAAGTACAATTAGGAGTTAAATAAAGATGAGAATAACAATGGTGAAGGTTGGATATTGTAGATAGGTTGTTTAATAGTATTTTAATATGTAGAAAAAATAAGTTGGGTTTGTAATTACAGGAGTTAGTAATAATTGTAAAAGTTTTAATATTGAATTGAAAAATATTATGAATGTTTTTGAGTTGAAAAAATTTGTTAAAGGTTTAAGTTTTTTGTAAATTTACGAATTTGTGAGATAAGTGGAGTATTGTACTATTAAAAAAACACATGCAGTTAAAGTCCGGAGTGCTTTTTTAATATATATAATTAACAATATATATTAATAATTTATTTATATACAACTTTATTTGTAAAATTAATTTATTTACTATTTATAAGATAAATGCTGTATATAACATTAAACCTATTTGCTATTTATAAGATAAATACTGTATATAATATATATACAGTAATATAATAACATTAAAAAAGAAAAAAAATTTTAAGTTTTTGTTGTTAATTTTTTTTTTTATAGCATCTAGCCCATATATAGTATAAACTTATATTTATTAATATAGTCTAACCTCCCAAAACTGATACACTTTGTAGAAACTTTATACTGGTTTTGAGAGGGTATCATATTAAAAAAATTTGAGTTATTTAATAGATGAGACATCACATAATATTTATAAATTGTGATTGGCTATTTAGTCTAATCCTAAAAAAAAAAAAAAAAGCAAAATTTCAAAAAATGTGGGTTCAAAAAAAGAGAAAGGAAAATTAATAAAAATTGGTTTAGGAAAAAAAAGAAAAAAAAAAACTTAAAAACTCCGGCAATGATTTTTAATTGGTTAATCAGCACACGTGAACAAGCACCTTCTTGCCTTTTTCTTGACACTGCTGTATTTGTGGTCATTGATGTCTGTTTCTAACATAAACTTTATTATTTAGTTAAACTACATAATCATGATCTGCAAAATGATGAAACTTTTGATAATCGCTACACACTAATACAATTGAAATCAAATACAATCACTTAAACAATCATCTGATTGTTGTCCAGGATTATACAATAATTTTTAGTGTTTTGCAAACCATGTGCTGAACCTAAGTTATCTAAACAAAAGTTATGCTATAAATGTAAACCACATTTCTGAGCGAATCAGATTTATTGATCATATTGTATACAATAATGGGGGTTTTTTTTAGCTAAAATTAGATGTAAACTCGACTTTTTATTGTTAATATGTGATTAATGTTCAGCATATATTAGTCATAGAAGATTCACTCTATTTTTTAGAACAAAGTTTACTTAAATGCAGTTAATCATATTTTCTTATTATTCTCTTCGATATGATAAAGTTAAGATTAAATGGTGTTCTTTTCAAATATTATTTTTAACATCATAATATTAATGAATTCTAGAATTCTCAAGACCCCAATACTCTAATTCAAAATGAGGCAACTTATAGTGAGGTAACTAATAGTCAAGAAACATTTCACGCATATGAATGCAGTGAAAACAACAAAAAAGAGCCGAAGAGATACAAGAGAAACGCGAAACTCACCTTGCTCGCAGATGTACCTTATATCACCAGAATAAAGCCAAGGAAACTGAAGTACAAAGAAGTAACTAAATTTTGCGCAATGCAACAAATATATGAAATAAATGCACTTCAGAAACTGATGAACAACGAAGAAATAGAAATCTTTAAAATGCATCAAATATGCGCAAGTGGTGTGCAACAAGCATTCCAGAAAGTTTTCAAACTGCGTCAAACATAAATGAAGAAGGTGAAATAGCCTCCCAATATCAGACCGAAAGCTTTTAAATAAATTTCACAATATAATAAATAAATTAAAAAACAAACAATATAACACATGTAATGAAAGATTTCCTTCTTTCGACATCTTTGGAGAGAATGAATGTTGGTGCTGTTTTAATGAAAAAACTATTCCAAAGAAGTTTTCAGTCACTAATAACATGGATCCTGATAGGATTTATTAAAATAAATATGATTATAGGAGTTTTACCTTGATGATTTTTTTAAAATAAATTAACTCAACATAAACTAACATTTATTATATAAATATATCCCTAGAGTCAGTCATTTAACAATTGCAAGCTCTAAAATGTAATTCCTAATTATGTTAGAACTTGTAATTGTCAAATAACTGACTCTGGAGGTGCTGTTTTTATGTAATAAGTGTTAGTTTCCTCACAAATACAATTTTTAAAGTTTTATGAAATTTAAATCTTAAATTAAATGGATATATTTTAAAATTAAAATGGATATTAAATTAAAGCTTTTAATGATATATTTGAATAAAGCTTAATAAACTCAATTTAGAAGAACTTAAGAACCTAACCAATATTGAGAAAATGTTGATTGTTTAAGTATTTCCTATCATTTCTGTATATAATTTGCATGGAGGGCAATATATATTTCGTGGCCATGTCATCAATTTTTCTCAGGACTTGCAAGAATTCATAACATGCCTTCCTCGTAACTCTGCATTGCTAGATGTGCTAGTAGTCAGACCCAGTTCAATTAATGAGACTGCTTGCCATGACTTTAATGTTTGTAGGAAAAAAATAATCCAGGCTCTCCAATGGTTAAAGGCAAACAATATATATTATAGAGATATTAGTATTGATGATGATGTTTTGCAATCTTTACCTAAGAATGATTTGATTTTTGAACAACTTCCATGGCTTACAAAGGATGAAAATCAAGATGAGCAAAATGTAGTTATAAATAAGGCAGATAATGAATGAACTCATTTCACAAACCTTTGTTCCTTTCCTATCGCCTAGACAAATTGAAAATAGTACAATTGCCAATGCTCTTAGTTGGATGCAGTAAGATAATTTGCAATAGGAATGGATTGACTAGCTTCATAACAAAGGTTGTCCTATTAATGAGTTTCAAACTGCTGGTTATATGGCTAGAGCATTCTCTACTCTTTTTCCTCGAGGTATTGCAGATCTTTGGAGTCAATGAATAACAGAAATAAAACTAGGAGAGTACTTTAAGCACCTAATACTTTATAAGGATAGACAGTTTGCTTGTCATCCATGATGGTGTTATTTTGCATTAAATTCACTAATAAGATGGAGAGCATTGACTGAAGGCCGTGTGTTTGTTAAGCAAAATTTGGAAGAAGGACAGCTTACTGTAACTGAAGTTTTAGATTTAATACAAAATGATGCCAATATGGTAGACTGCGTAATGCGATATGGTGAGAGATTATATGTCACTCGCCAATACTAGATGCAATGCAGAAATGAACTATCAGATATAATAAAGCAGTTAGGAGCTGAGGAGATATTTTTTACGTTTAGCACAGCCGATATGCACTGGCCTAATTTACATAATCTCATGTCTAATGAGGAGAATCCTGTAGAGGTAAAAATGGACCAAGAGGCCGCTAAACGAAGACGTAAGGACCTTATTAATAATCCACATATTGCTGCATGGTTTTTTGAAAAATGATTTAAAGTTTTCTTTGAAAAAGTGTTAATACCAAAATGGGAGTTGTCAGATTGGTGGTATCATTTTGATTGGCAGTATCGTAGTAGTGTTTATGAGCATAGCGGGCTTTATTATAATTGGCTAATTTTTAAAGATCATCTCATCATAATAAAAATCTTATTAAAGTAATGATTTGCTATCACAAGAGTGCACAAAAATGAATTCGCAGCCACAAATATGAATTCGCAGGGGTTATAATATAAAAATTTAGAAAATACACCTTTGGCTCTACAACGTACCAAAGTAATTTGATAATTAACGAGGTAATTCGGAAGTTAGATGAGAGGTATGTTTAGGTGTTCTAATTTAATCAATATAATCTACAATGTATTAAGCTTGGTAAAATAAGTCGTTTTTCAAAAAGTTTACAACACTAATCTATTTTATTTATTTTTTCTAAAGACAGACACATACTGCTAGTAAATAGATTAGTGTTGTGAAGTGATGAAAACATAAGCTTGCGAACTTTATAAGGGTTAAAATATATTGTTACGTCTATTATTAAAGAATAGTGTCATTAATTTAGAATATAGTTAGTTTCGTTTGACATTATTAACTGTTATTATATACAATTAAAAAATTATTTTATGATTTTTATAGTCTTTTAAAATAAATAGTTTATATTTTTTTTATCTTTTTTTGAGCTTTTTACATAAGTTATAATTTTTTTTTTAAATTAAGTATAATAGTATTTTTTTTTTAAATAAGATCTTGGATTTTTTTGTATTGGGATGATGGTTTTAGACTTTGAGTTAGTAGATTTCAAAGTAATGTGTTTATTAATGCCAATTTTATTTTATATGGTAGTAATAAATATTCAAGTATTAATTATATCAGAATATAGTTTCATATAAAATTTGTCTTGCGAATAATTTGATTAACCAATGATATTTTTGCAATATCACAGGATGATTTACAAAAACAGCCAATTACAATAAAAGCTCGCTATGCTGTGTTTATATATATGGCATTGCAAAACAAAAAAAGGCACCTACAATTAAGTAGGAAGAAATCAGTAACTGTCAAGAAAAAATGGATGAAGTGATTAGTTATCTAGACTCTTTGGTTAATACCATAAATCCTGGGCTAAACAAACCTTTATCAACTCATCATCCATGCCAAAAATGGTTAGAAGATCTTGATGATGACCTACAAGATTATGTGGAATTAATAAATAAATTTTAGTGTCATACAAGATGTAGTACATCTTATTGTCTGTGAATTAATAAACAAAATGGTAAACAAGTTTGTCAGTTCGGGTTTCCAAATGAATTAAGAGATCATACAATTGTACATAATGAGAATGGAAACTTAGAATTACTTACAGCAAGAAATGATCCTCTAATTAATCCACATAATCGTATTCAACTCCAAGGATGGCGAGCAAACATTGATTTAAAGCCAATACTTATAATCTAAGCTGCTTTGCAGTATGTTGCTAAGTATGCCAGTAAGTCTAAGCTGCATTCTTTAGCTCTCTCAGAAGTGTTGGATAAAACACTTCGTAATAGCAGACCTGATAATTCGGCTGTTAAGTCATTTCAAAAATTGCTACTTTATGCAGTAGCAGAACATAACATATCAGTACAAGAAACATGCTATCTTCTTCTCCAAATATCTCTTTATTATTGTAGTCGAAACTTTGTTAACTTAAACCTTAACAAGAAGGCAAATCATTTGCTTAGTAGTAATAATGAAGGTGGAAGTGAAAATAATAATAATAGTAAAAAAGGTTTATCACTTCTGCAAAAATATTGAAGCAGACCCGTTGAACTCCAAAACCTTTCACTCTACCAGCTATACCTGCAATATAAATTTGTTAAGGGAAAATGGACAAAATGCAAAACTGAAAATATTATACATATATGGCCTCGTCTATTATCACTTCCAAATAAACCCCAATAGGAAGACTTCTGCTGAATTAAAGTTCTTCTCCATGTTTGTCACAAAAACCTTCAACAACTCACAGAAAATGAAACACTCTCATGGGAGGATTTGTATAATCACCATCTTTCTGAAATTAATGAAAACAGTGATTTAATTGGTTCTGCTATAAATAATTTTGATGCTGAAAGCAACTCTGAAGATCAAAACTAGAAAGAACAGGATATATATAGGTTTTGTCCTGATTGGATGGTGTTGTCAGATATAATGCCAAATACAATGATAAATCATCTTTCTGATCTCAGCACCCATGAAATTGATAAAAATTATGATTGGGCTAGTGAAAGTCAACTAAGATATCCTAATCATATAAGTTTTGAAACTTTTATTTAAGAAGCAATTCGTGATGACTTCGTAGTTCAAGATGATTTATCAGAAATTGACCTTGAAAACCTAAATAATAAGCAAAAAATAATATATGAACGATTAAAATCTTATTATGCTACAATAATTTCAAGTCAACATGTAGAACTACTATGAATCATTGTTATGGGCACAGCAGGAACTGGTAAATCTCATCTTATTAAAGCCATCTGTATAATGCTTCATAAAATAGCAAGAAGCAACAGGATGAATGATAACATTCTACTTGTGCTTGCCCCAAATGGTGTTGCTGCTTTCAATATTCAAGGTAGCACTATAAAGTCTGCACTTTCTGTTCCAATAACAGGCTCAAGTTTTGATCTTGAAGGTAATTGCCTCAAAAAACTTCAAAACAAACTGGAGAAGATAAATATTTTGTTATTGATGAGATGAGTATGGTAGAATATCGCTTTCTTGCTATAATAGACATGTGGTTGTGTCAGGCATTTTCAAATAATAATAATATTACCATTTGGAGGTCAGTTTGTTATTCTTGTAGGTGATTTTGGACAACTTCCTTCTGTATGTAACATCCTGATGTATTTTCATGACTCTCGTCCTCAGATTTTCTATTTGAAGATGAACACAAAGCATATAGCCATTTTCAAGAAATATATAAATTAGAGGTTATATAATGACAAGCTGATAACTCAGATGAACAGTGCTAATTTAGAGATCTTTTGTTATGTTTACGTAATGGAGAATCTATTCAATCAAATTGGGAGTTATTGATAACATGACTTCTAGAAAATTTATCTGAATCAGAATGAAAAAATTTTATCTGCCACTAATGTCTTAACAAAATAGAGTGAAGTAGATGAAATTAATTTTAGAAAACTTCGTTCATTAAATCAAGCAGTTATTAAAATTAGAGCTGTACATAACATGGGTGGATCTGAAGCCATAAATGCTGATTCTAAAACAGCAAAAGGTCTTGAATCAGAATTATTTTTAGCAAGAAAAGTACGTATAATGCTTACTACTAATCTTTAGACCTCTACTGGCCTTGTAAATAATGCAATGAGAATTATAGAGGATATTGTGTTCAAAGTCAGAGAGAAGCCTACTTCTTTACCTACAGCTGTCTTAGTTTCATTTGATGATTATCGTGGCCCAACCATTTCAACTATAGATGGAATTCAAGTAGAGGCCATTATTGCTGTTCAACATATATAGGAAGGCAAAACTGGTATGTGTTCTTGCCTACAAATTTTATTTTCTCTTGCATGGGTAATTACAATGCATAAGTCACAAGAATTAATGTTATCAAAAGCTGTTGTTGATATTGGAAAAAAAAATTTATTGCCAGCTTGTCTTTCGTAGCTATATCCCATGTTAGTTCACTTAATGACATTCTTTTAAACCATTTCACATTCAAAAGACTTCAACATATAAAAAATTGTAAAAGGCTAAAGGAAAGATTAGATGAGGAAAATAAGTTAATTTCTCTCGAAATTACCACATAAAAATAAATATAAAAATAATAAAATTTAAGCATAAAATTTATTTTTCTTAATTCGTGTCAATAATATTATAATACATATATAGAAAGCAAAAAACATATTTTATTGGCACTAATTAAGTATTAAAATTATTTTTTTGTTTTGTTTTTATCGTTACTAATTAAGTACGTATTAAAATTTTTTTTTTGTTTTTATCATAAGTTGATTTCAATACTATAATACACAAAATCTGGTCTGTTACCCGGAAATCATCATATAAGGTACCCAATATGATGTAACTTTCTTGTGATTAACCAATTTTATTACTCCTCTAATATATGCTAATTTTATTTACCCCCTTAATATAAATAATACTTAATATTACTAATCAGTTATGTAATAATAAAAAATATATATATATTATAATGTTTTACAGGATCTTCCATATTGTTAGGCTGATCCGTGTAATCTGTTTATATGTTTTGAAATTTTTGAAATGCTGATTGCTCAATATCACATGAGTGGAACCCGACACACACAAATTTTGGTCTATTGCTCCCCCAGTAAGTCCTCCGCTATGCTTCGGACAATGAAAAGAAGAGAAATATTATGAGGTAATCTAAATTAAGTTCAATAGATTGTCTGTTTGTACCTCTTTTTGCAAGAATGTCTGCATTACAATTTAAAGCATTCTTAGAGTATGCTTTAACTTTATGTATAGCAAAAGATATATTTTTCTTTTGAAGGAGGTTGTTAATAATATATAGATAGTTCTAATTTTCAGTTTTGATTTGTATAGAGTAATAGTAAGGTAGATTTTAAGAGTTTAAATTGTAGAAGAATTATCACAGTGATTTATATATGTAGATTTTGTAGTAAAGAAAGAAGTATAGATATAATTAGTGCTAGTTCAGCTCTTGTGGTGTTAGAAGCATTTGTAATATTAGCAGAAAATTTAATTTTGGTGTTATTTTCTAAGATCTAACCAATCCCAGTTTGAGATTTGGTAATTGAGTATTTTTAATTGATACATCTATATAAAAGTGATGATTTTCTGATGAAATTAGTTGTATTTGTTGTTGGATATTGATAAGTTCTGTTTGATATACTGGGGTGATAATAGAGTTCATTATGAGTTCAGTATTTGAGTTTTGTATTTGAACATATATATTTTCTGAGGTAATAGGTTGGTATAAAGAGAGAGAAATTTGTAATAATGATAATATTTCTTGGTAATCGATTGAGAGTTTGTAGATCTGTTTTTGTTTTTGGCTTTTACAAAGAAAGTTAACTGTAGATGCAAAGGGAATTGTGGATATTTATGAAGAAGATTGAAGGGTTATAATGCTAGAAAACATTTGATGAATAAGATAGGTTTCAAAGGAAAGGTTGTTTTGTATTATAGAGATAATTTTTCTTATTTGTAAGCTAGGTATGGAAGAGAAATTTGTTTAGTTATTTTTTTTAAAGATTGTAGTTGGAGTTGAAATTAATGTAAATGTGTTAGTAAATGGATTAATATCCTCTAGTTGAATTGATGGCTAGACTGAGAGTAAAGAATTGTTGTTTATTAGATTTTTAATATGTTTGTACCAAGAGTGAATTGGTCCTCTGGGTGATTTATGTATTCGAAGATATATATTGTTCTATGGTAGTAGATATTGATGATTAGATATAAGAAGTTGTTCAATGTAAAGTATTTGATTATTTTTAAGACTTTGAATTGTTGATAGTTTAGGATTTTTAAAGATAAAATTGTAGATTATATTTAGTTTGAAGTTGCTTGAGAAATTGTTTATATTATTAATTAGATTATTAATATTAATGTTGTAGTTTGACATATGAGTTAGAAAGAAAAGGCTAGTAAAATTTTTTATTTTTTGTTTATATTGTAGAAGTATGTCAGGAGTAATTGTTGGCTGCCAGATTTTTGAAACCATTCTTTGATTCGAAGTTCAAAAATTTGTTGTAAAAGTAAGAATGAATTGATTGTTTTTTCAATAATATTGCAACTAGTATAAGAGAGCAGTTAATATAAAGTAGAGATGTTTAGAAGTTGTGAATTTGTAAGAATATTATTATTTGTATTAAGTGAAAGATTGAGAAATTTTTTGATTTGTTTAGTAATGAGGCTTGAAAGTTGAATAATTTTTTGATTTATAAGTAAAGTAACTCGCAGAAGATATTCTAGTAATGGTGAGAGAATAGTGTTAAAGAGTCTAGAAATTTGAATAGGTAAGAGTTTTTTGCATTGTATGAGTTTAATAAAATTGCTTGTTTTGTTTAGAATTTTATCAATTGTGGGTTGGGTAGAACCTGTGCCATTGAAATAGATGCCAAGATATCTAATAGAGTCAGTTGGTTTTCTTGGTTTTATAGATTTATTATTAAAGATGATTTCTGGTTGTAGTTTTTGATTTGATGCTTTTTTGTGATAAGGTTTAATGTGTAGAAGATCAGATTAAGTTTGTAAAGTTGTTCAACATCTTTAAGTAGTTGTTGTAGGCAGTCTTTGTTTTCACAGTGCTATACAGTATCATCTATATATGCAAGTGGGGAATAGTAATTTGTAGAAGTTGTATATTTTGGATTTGTTCAGTAGGAGATGATGCTTAAATTTTAAGAAATGAGTTATGGTATTTGTTATTTATATATGTTAAAATAGGGTTA